TCATCCATCTTGGTCTTTTCTTCTTATTTAGCCTTTGTAATGATCTTTTGCATTCTTCATGGACGATTTTCTTGATATCTTCCCAGAGCTCATTTGGTCCACTCTCATTGGCGCTCAAGGCCTCAAACCTGTTCCTGAGATAGTTTTGAACAATAACAACACTAATTATTAAAAAAACTCCCCAAACAAAACTAGAAAGGATGGGGTTGTCACAAACCCAAATATGTTCTTAGACAGACTATTAAAATCTAAAAGTGTTCTCCTCTTCAACCCAGTGTATCTGGTTCAGGTAGTATTTCTCATGTCCCTCCTCCTTGAGATACTTGTCTCTTATACTCCAGCCTCCCAAAAATAGGCATTCAGAGCTTAGGAGGGAAGGATTTGTGTTAAAAAATGAGAATTCCATTTATCCTTATAATTTTTGTTCCCAAAGTACTAATAGGAGCTCAAGGACCGCTTGTTAGTTACATGTGTGTGATGAATGCTGAGTGCTGGTTACACTATGGAATCTCTCTTCGCTACTCCTCCCAGGCTCTCAAGGAGAATGGCAGTAACATACTTTTCTGCCCTTTGTACAGGGGCTGTTGGGATCTGGACCTTCTTTTCTGAGCACTCATCTTGCTCGTGCGCGCGCGCGCTTGTGTGTGTGTGTGTGTGTGTGTGTGTGTGTGTGTGTGTGTGTGTGACGTTTGGGGAGTCCTTTCAGTCATTTATCAGATAGGTGAGATGTTAAGAAGAATAAATCTGAGAAATATCTGGAGGGCAGAGCAGTGAGGTGGTGGAGAATTTTGCCTTCCAAACACATGGTGCAAAGATGGGGCAGGGGAATTTTGCCACTCTGCTGCAAAAAATAGGCTTGTGTGTATTTTTGAACGTCCTATTCCCTGCTCTAGAAAGGCAGCTCGCAGTTTCCTAGGAGAGAACATAAACTTCTGGCTTCTCTGGCATCAAGTTTCCTGTAGTTGCTGTGAGGGACACATTACAAAAATGTAGCTACAACATAAAACCAGGCATCTGGGTTGTTGTTCTAAGTTGTCACCTGAAAGACTGTCCTGCCATCTCAACCTTAGGCACATTCTGTGCAGGTGACTGTGAATGCAAGCTTTGGAACATCATCTGAGAGATCCCTTTTCAAGAACAGGAAATTATGCATGCCCCAGAGGAACAATAAAAAACTCCTTTTAGGGTGAACTTTTAGCTTCTTGTGGGAAGCAAAGTTGCTCAGAAACAGCATGGAGAATGGACAGGGCAAAAGCTAAGTCAGGCCCAATGGATGTGTGCAGAGAGCTTTACAAATGAACCTACTGAAAATGGGAAGAAAGAGGCAATGTATTAATCCAAAAAGCAAATGATTTAAATAAGTTTAGAGTTAGGGTCTGGATACTTGGAAATACTAACATTGTTGAAAGTCTAGCACATACACCAGCTATTGGAGCCTCTGATTGAATTAGGAATTGAATGAGGAGTCCAGCTACCTTATTCTGTCACATTAGTTTTCCTTTTTGAATCACCTCATGTCATGCTAGGAGTGTGGTGACTGCCTTGCAAATTAAGGCAAAATATCTGTGTGAAGCAAAGCTGTATTTATTTATTTACTTACATCTTGGCCTGAAAGATGGGACATATAGCTAGGTCGAAGATAAGATCTGATGCAATTACTCAATTATTATCTGGAGATGGAAGCCCTGATCAAATATCCCTGCCAAGTTATTTCCATAATTTTCAAGTCTAGAGACCCAAGCTACAATTTAAAACAAATTATAAGAAAAAGTATTTGGTCTAGTCTTTTTTTTTTTAGTAATCAGAAAATAGTTTCATTAGGTATAGTGCATGTTGTTGGGGACTGGCTTGATCTGGAGACACTTTTAGGTACTCTGGTTGGGAAGTCAGAACTTTCAGGGACTACCACCACCCTTAGGAGATATGTCATGTTGTGACTGAAGCCGCTAAGAGGGAATTCGATGGCAATGCCTTGAAGGCCTTAGCTAGAATCATGGAAGTCATCAAAGGGATCTAGGCTGGTGTGGAAGCTGCAGCCTCAGCCCTGGTATCCCATCTTCCAAGGAGGTCAGGTCGCCTGGAGGAAGTCACTATTCTGCTTGGCTATGCTAGCAGATCTCTCAGGTACAGAGAGTCCTTGCTGGAAGATGGAGGTGGGCCACTGTGGGTGGAGGAGAAGTCTGTGGGCAGTGTGACCAAAGGTTCAAAATGAAGAAACTTGCCAAAGAAAATCAGAGCTGGAGCAAGTCTGAATGTGTGACTGTAGCCATCAGGAAAGGGTAAACATTGCCAGAGTGGCCCTCTTATATGGCACTCTGTGCTCCTAAGGGGGGGGGACTATGGCCTGTGGAGTTCACTCTGGTTGCTCAGCAGGTCACCTACAGTTTCCCTGGGCACTGGTGAAGGTGGTACCAAGAGGGAGCTGTGCAGGTAGGAGTTGCTGGAGGTAGACGCTCCAGCCTTTGTAAGAGGCACTGGCCATGCCTCCCAGTGCAGGTTCATGCTGTCCTTGGATGCAGGCTCCAATAAAAAACGATGAACAGTAGATTTCAAATGGTAGCTCAAGATGACAAAGCAAAATGTTATAAAGAAATATATGAAAATCTGGAGTTACAAAATCCAAAGAAAAGAATTCACTTGGTATTTCTCAAGCTAAAAGAGCTGAAGAATAAATTCAAGCCTCAGGTAATAATATGAATAGTTTTATGGGTAAATTCTTGAGTGATGAAGGAAGCATCAAAAGAAGATAGAAGGAATACATAGAGTCATCGTACCAAAAATAATTTGCCAACCAATACTGAATGACAATGAAGGAAGAAGTTCAAGCTGAACTGATGGTATTGGCAATTGACTTCTTACAACAAGCAGATGCAGCCCAGACATACTCACTAGCTTATGCCAAGGAATTTAGAAGACAGCTAATTGTCCAATTGACTGGAATAGATGCATATTTATTCCAATTCCCAGAAAAGGTGATTCAATGGAATGTGGAAATTTTATAACAATATCACTAAGATTATAAGCAAATAAAATTTGCAAAAGACTGTTAAAACTGTCTGGAACACTACATAGATAAAGGGAACTGCCAGAAATTCAAGCTGGATTTGAAAGAGGCTTTGGCACCAGTGATATCACTGTTGATGTCAGATGGATCTTGTCTGAAAGTAGAAAATACGAGAAAAACATTTACTTGTTACTTACTGACAAGACAAAAGTATTTGACTGTGTGAATCATAACAAATTTTGGCTCTTGGAAAAAATGGAAATCCCAGAATACTTAATTGTGCTCTTGTGAAATGTAGATATGGACCATGGATTCGTAGGCTGAACAAATCCTTGGAGATATTGTTGTCATTGTTAGGTAAAATCAAGTCACTTATATCTCATAGTGACCCTATGAATCTGAACCATGCCCTGTTCTGCACCATCCTTATTATCTTTTATATACTGAAGCCCATTGTTGCAGTCATTGTGTCTTTTAATCACGATGGAATCTTCTTCTATTTATTTGACTCTACATCTTTCCTTCCAGGATGTCCTTTTCCAAGGACTGGCCCCTCTTGACAACATGTCCATATTAAGAGAGATGAAGTTTCACCATTTTTGCCTCTAAGTAACACTCTTTTTTTTTT